TTTTTTTTTTTTTAAGGCAGAGTTTCACTTTGTGGCCCTTGGTAGAAGTGCCATGGTGTCACAGCTCACAGCAACCTCCATCTCCTGCACTTAGATGATTCTCTTGCCTCAGCCTCCTGAGTAGCTGGGACTACGGGCCCACCACAACACCCAGCTATTTTTTTTTGTTGCAGTTTGGTGGGGGCTGGGTTTGAACCCGCCACCCTCGGTATATGAGGCCAGCTCTCTACTCACTGAGCCACAGGCACAGCCGCAGAGGCATTTTACTGTTCAGGTTATTTAAGGCGTCTATAGAATCTTATTTTACTATTCAGAGTGAACAAATAACATGTTGAATTGTTTCCACATATGTGGTGCCGAGTGTGGCAGAGGAAGGTTGTGAAGATGAGTATGTCAGCAGTGGTGTTTCCTCAGACTGGGGGGCTCTGGAACTGTGAAAGGCACACCATACTCACTTCTCTACCTTCTGTGCCCAGGATGGCACTGGCACATGGCAGGTGTTTAGTCGGCGTCTGGGCTGGTGGTGTGCACGCCTGGATGGGTGGGTGGGTGGCGTGAGGGGATGGGAGGGGTGGCTATTTCTTCTTGGGTAGAACCATCTCCTTAATCTAGGCAGGGAAGTTTCAGCTCTGATGTGGCATTTCCTGTGAGGGCTGGGAGCATATATACGCATGTGTCATCTCTGTATTTTGTGGAGAATGCTGTGTGAGAGAGAGAACCTGAGTAAGCAAGAGCCACATCCCCATTCACAGATTCCTTTCTATGTTTAGACTTCGTGAAGATGCGTCAGCCCTGAAATGTGCCTGGGATGCCCAGGTTGCTCAGATGTCCAAGGAGATAACCTCCAAAGACCTTCAGCTCCAGAGGCTGCAAGAGGAGGAGATAAAGCTCAAGGCACAGCTGGCTGGACTTCAGCAGGACATTGGCAGGTAGCTGTTCCCAGGGCAGGCGCTCTTGCTCTAGGTGTTAAGGATTCCATGCTGAGAAAAAGCAAGTCCCTGACCTCACATTCTTTTGGGGTAGAAAGACAGTGGACAAGAAGCAAATACAAATTGGACTCTGGTTGTGCAAAGGGAGTGGGAAAAAGTAAGTGGAAAGAGGCAAGAGAGAGGCCAGGTACAGTGGGTCATGCCCGTAATCCCAGCACTTGGGAGGCTGAGGTGGACGGACTGCCTGAGCTCACAGGTTCGAGACCAGCCTCAGCCAGAGTGAGACCTTGTCTCTAAAAATAGCCAGGCGTTGTGGTGGGTGCCTGTAGTCCCTGCTACTTGGGAGGCTGAGACAAGAGAATCATTCCAGCCCCAAAGTTTGAGGTTGTTATGAGCTGTGATGCATGGCACTCTACTGAGGGTGACAAAGTGAGACTCTGTCTCAAACAAAAAAGAAAGAGGCCAGTGAAGACTTTCAGGGGATCACGGTTTTTTAGTCTGTAATTAGAGCCATGGAAGTGCTTGCACTGTTTGGTCCTGTGTTGAGAATCACCTCTGTCTTTGATTGTTAATGTTGTAGTGGGGTTTTTAATCAAGTGGGACAGACACTGACTTGAGTGAGGGTAATATTCTATTTCCTGTATAGCAGTGGTTCTCATGACCCAAAGAACTGTATTAAAGGGTTGCAGCATTAGGAAGGTTGAGAACCACTGCTGTACAGACTAAGGTGACTAGACATCCCACTTTTGGTGGGACAGTCCCGATTTTGAACAATTTGTCCTGTGTTCTGCAGTGTTTTTAAAAAGTCCCGATTTTTGGAAAGAATGCATGACAAGCTAGGGAACGGCGGGAGAATGGGAAGGGAATAGATAGTTTTCGGCTGCCATGTGACCAGGATATGAGTTTTATATTAATTTTGTTAATTTTATAATGTTAAACTTTCTTTTTTTTTTTTTTTTGAGACAGAGCCTCAAGCTGTCCCCCTGGGTAGAGTGCTATGGCATTATAGC